GGTAGGAAGCGGCCCACTCCATGAAGGGTGCCCGGACAGGGCGAGCGTGGCCTTCCTCTGGCCAGTGTCTGCGGAGAGCCTGGTTGCTGTGCCGGCAAAGCCTGAGGAGCGAGGGGATGGGAGGCGGGGAGCAGCGGACTAGCAGGCCTGGGTTTGCTGGGTTTGCAGAGAGACTGAGCCGCTTGCTAAAGGCTGCTGGGGAGTTGTGGGTAATAATAGGGCATTGGCGGTGACCCCCGTGAAGATCCTGAGCTCACATGTGGTGACAACCGTGGTAGGGGGTGTGGGAGGAACCTGTAAAAGAGTTACTTGAGCCGAAATCGGTTTGGCTCAGTGGTAGAGCATTTGTCTGCGGACTGAAAGGTCATGGGTTCAATTCCAGTCAGGGACATGTATGTTGGTTGCAGGCACATCCCCAGGAGGGGGTGTGTAGGAGGCAGCTGGTCGATGTTTCTATCTCATTGACATTTCTAGCTCTCTATCTCTCTCCCTTCCTCTCTGTAAAAAAATCAATAAAATATATTTAAATAAAATAAAATAAAAATGAGTTACTTGAGTCTTGCGAGGAGTTGCTCATAAAAGAAGAGGCCCTGGCGAGCCTCATTTCCGGGCCCAGGGTGTATGCCTTGTTCCCTCGCACAACCTTCTGCCACCATTTGACGGGAGACGTAGGGAATATGATTCGAGACGTTTTGCTCCTCAGAGCCCTTGCTGTCCTGGTCTCCCTCTTCAGCCTGGTGTCTGCTTCTCCACTGGTTTTCCTGGGATTCCTCGTGTGAGCCCACTTGCCAGGCCCCGCCTGTGGATTCAGGTGACACTGGATTTGAGGTCCTGTCTCTGGTCCAGGTGACGTAGCGGGCAGCTTTCCCACGCTGTCCAGGTGGTGTGCACTGTCTGTGTGTCGGGCTGCTAGGGAATACCCCAGGCTGGGTGGCTCACATAACAAATTTATCTTCTCACAGTCCTGGAGGCTGGACGCCCAAAACTGAGGTGCTGGCAGGGTTGGTTTCCGATGAGGCCGCTCTCCTTGGCGTGCAGGTCTCTGCCTTGTTGTTGTTGTGTTCTCACGCTTGTAAGGGCGCCCCTTCTGCTGTTTGACAGCCCCAGCCTTGTGACTTTATTTGACTTAATTGATTCCTTTAAAGGCCTGTCTCCCAATATGTCACATGGGAGGTTAGGGATTTAGCCCGTGAGTTTTGAGGGGCGCGGGTGAGCCCCTCGGTATGAAATAGTAAACTTGGTTGAAAGTGAATTCTGTTTTCCTCTTGAGTTACAGTTTGGAATGGGAACTGCATTTTTCGTGGCTCTGCCCTGGGGTCTGTGCTCTTAACACTTTCCACGGGCAGTCTTATCTGTACTGGTGACCTCAGTGCCCATGTATGTGTAGCTCTATCTCTTTGGGTGTCGTGTGACCCTGAAGATATGTCTAAAAGCTGGGGAAAGGTAAACATGGAGACTCCCTCTCTGGCAGTCAGAAACAGCTCTTTCTGAAGGCAGCTGGACCAGCTGGACAGGTTCAGGAGACGTCTCTGGTTGAAAGCACTGTAGAGCTAAGAAGCTACTAGGCCAGGGCTTGTGGGAAGAGAGGCCCTGGGTGGTGTCTTTGACATTGGAGTCTGAATGCAGCCCTTCCTGTGGGCAACTGAGAATTGCATTTGATCGCCTTGCTAAGAAGACAGGAACTAGAGTTATCAACAGAGAGTGGGTGAGTGCTCACTATGCCTTCTTCTGGGTGGCTACCACAAAGAGGTGAGGGGGAGCCGAGAGAAGACAAACTCTGAAGTTAGATTAGGATGTTGCAGAACTAATGGTGCCCTTAGCTGCTTTCCAGAAGCACATATAGCATCGTTGAAGGACTAGAACATCATTCTAGGCTTCAGATCATTTCTACAAACAATTTTTGCGCATATAATGACTAGCTGGTCATCCTATATAATAAAACCCTAATATGCAAATCGACCAAACTGGGGAACGACCGGTTGCTATGACATGCACGGACCGCCAGGGGGCAGATGCTCAAAGCAGGAGCTGTTCCCTGGTGGTCACTGTGCTCCCTCAGGGGGAGCGCCCCTCACCCAGAAGCCGCGCTCTCAGCTGGCGAGTGCAGCGGAGGTGGTGGGAGCCTCTCCCGCCTCTGCTGCAGGTGGGTGGTAAGGAGCGAGGGGTCCCAGACTGCGAGAGGGTGCAGGCCTGGCGGAGGGGGGACCCACGCACCCCAGTGCACAAATGTCGTGCACCAGGCTAAATAAATAGCCAGCAGGCACTCTGCCGTCGAAGCAGACCTGGATGAGCTCCAGATTGGAGTCACCACGCCCAACTTTCCTTGGGTCGTGGGGGAGATGGTGACGATGCCGCTGTGTGGACTGAAGCAGTGGAGTCGTGAACACAGGCACTGGGTGGCCCCTCTGGGCACCAGCAAACGGCAGGGCTGCCTTCCGATGGGCCAGGGCCGGGAGCCTGAGGCAGGAGCCCCGCGGGAAGGCAGCCTGGCCGCTGTCTGTCGGGGTTCCACTGCCTGTCCAGACCCGGAGCTGGACAGCGAGGAGAAAACACAGGCCACCTGAGTCCTTGTGTGGCCGCCTCTCAGGCCTGGGGGCTTCTGGGAGGGGGCCCCTTGGCCGGTGGATGTGGTGCTGGGTCCGTCCCTTTCTCACCTGCGTGGCTGGGGCTGGAACCCTGCTCTCCGGGCGGCCTCCAGGAGCCAGGGGGGAGTGCAGCGGCCCATAGGCTGCTGGGGTCCACGGTTCCTCCCTCGGGGAGGTGTAGGCTGGGCGGACACACCCCATAGAACCCCAGGGGGCAGGCACATGGCCGCTTCAGCTTCACACCTTCCCGCCAAGGCTCCGTCTGGATCGCCCCGCCCTTCTCCATCTGTCCTCGCTCTTCCCTGTCCCCCGTGCACCGTGAGCCCTGCACAGCGGATCCTGGTCGGATTTCTCCCGTGCCTCCCCTGGGCACAGCGGGGCGCAGCCAAGGCCTCCTGGGCTGGGGACTCAGCCCTCCCGGCACTTTCCCTCGCCCGTCAGCCCCGGCCCACTGAGGTCTTGCTCCCCTAAGGTCTGTTTGGGCGGAATCTGCGTGTATTCCGGTCGGTCGGTCGGTTGGTTGGTTGGTTGCTCTTATTTTTTGGAGGCGTGTGTCCGGGAGTGGCGTGTGTCTGCCCACCTGCTGGACGAGGGCGTGGCGAGCATGGGGGCTCATGTAGGCCCCGGGAACCCAGGGACGACCTGCTGGGGATCATGCCACTTGTGTACCTGGTTCCTTTGGAGGCCGGCCGCTGGGTTGGCTGTAGCTCCGGGGTACAGCGAGCCCCTTGCTTGCCCGTTGGGGCCAGCACGTGTGAGGGGGCACCCCAGGCACCCCTGTCCCGAGAGCACGGCCTCCTCTCCTGCAGGATTGGGGGGGGGGTGAGCCAGGGGTCAGGGGGAGCCTCCTGTGCCCGGGTGCCTGGCCCCGGGAGTGTAGGCTGGAGCCTTGTGCCTATTAAAAGGAAGCGGCCGCCCTGCGGTTGGAGCGTTGCCAGGGGCTATAAATAGCCGAGTGTGTGCCGAAGCAGAGCTTGCCAGGGAGGAGGGAGGCAAGGGGCAGCCCCCCCAGGTCTCCAGCTGGCAGCGGAGCCTGGGTGCGGTGTGGGAGGGGCCTGGGGTCTGCCATCGGGCCCCCCTAGGCTGGGAATACCAGGCTCTTGCGGGCGTGGGTGCACACCCTTCCCGCGTGGTGGGCTGGAGGCCTCCGGGGGCTTGTGCTGTGGAGGGTTGTCCTGGGCAGCAGGGGTGGGGCGTGGCTCTAACATGCCAGCTGACACGCCAGTGCCGGGCACTCTCGTGGCCACTCGGAAAGCGCACCGCCTCAGCTCACTCCTGGAGCCGCGCTCGAAGCATGTGCCGTGAGCACGCCCTCGTCACGAGCGGGCGCTGGGGGGTTTGGTCACTCGGCCTGGGTCACACAGCTCAGAGCATCACAGCCAGGGTTTGACCCAAGACGATAGCTCACGCCTTGGCCACGTGTAGGAGGGTGTGGTCAGAGCGGGGTTTGGTGACATCCCAGATCTGTGTGTCCCTCGCTGGGGCTTGAGATTTGGAGTTCCCAGCCCCGTGCACTTGGGTCCTGCAAGCGGGGGTCCCTGCCCCATCCGGGGGCCTGGGAGAGGGGCTGGCCACGTTCCGTGTCTGGGGACCCCCTTGTTCTGGCTCCTGGTCTTGCACAAGGGCTTGCTGCTGGTCAGAGAGGACACGGAAACTCCCCAGAGGACTCGGCGTTTGGGCAGCGGGCCACCCCTGCTGGCGTCCCCTCCCTTTGAAATCCTGCCCTAGCCAGGAGCTAACTCCCGGCGTGTCTTTCTGTTCGTTCCTTGGTCCTTCTGTCCATCCATCCGTCGTGTCCAGTACCGGTCCCAGCACTCAAGACAGCCACGGCTTCTGCCTACATCAGCTTGGCAGCCTCACGGGGGAAGGCTGACATTGAAAAAGCAGTTGTCGAGCACATTCGTAATATTTTATTTCTCATATGAGCCTTCATTATGTGATTTCCTCCCCGGGGGTGATCTTTGGTTACGTCACTTTTACTCTTTTCGGATGTCTGTCTGAAATATCCCTTTAGACAACAGCCACCTGCACAGGCAGTGCTCCTGAGGTGCACGGAGGCTTTGAGGGCCCCCTAGTAATGGCTGCTCTAGGGAAACGGCCCCCACCAGGGGCCTCCGATGCCGGGGGAGCCCCCTTTGTGGCATCCGGCCGGCAGTCTGGGTGTCTGCCTCTCCAGTCTGTGGTGTCAGGGCTATGGTCGCCTCCCTCTTGATTGGCCAGGGGGCAGTAGCAGGGGGCAGTGAGGTGGAGGCAGGTGCTGGCGGGCACATTACACTGATTGGTGTCAAAGGGGTGGATGGCATGGGGCCTGGCACCCGCCCCCCCGGCCTCCCTCAGGGTGGCCCGGGTCCAGGACAGGGAGCAGCGATGGGGAGGGTGGGTGCTGAGCAGGTCTCTCCCCCGGGGCGCCCGCAGGCTCCGGGCGCAGCGAGGCGGAGACGCGGGAGTGCGTGTACTACAACGCCAACTGGGAGCTGGAGCGCACCAACCAGAGCGGCCGGGAGCGCTGCGAGGGCGAGCAGGACAAGCGGCTGCACTGCTACGCCTCCTGGCGCAACAGCTCGGGCACCATCGAGCTCGTCAAGAAGGGCTGCTGGCTGGACGACTTCAACTGCTACGACAGGTACCCGGAGCCGCCGCCTCTGGCCACCCCTCAGCTCCACCGGCCCCCTGCCCCCTGCCCACTGCCTCCTGCCTCCTGCCCCCTGCCCCCTGCCCCCACGGGTCTCGGGCTGTCTGTGCGGCCGAGCCTGGCATTTAGGGCCCGAGGGGAAGGCCGAGGGCTTGGGAGAGCTGGGACACGCGGGGGTGCTGCGGGGTTGGGGTCCTGGCCCTGGTCCCCGGGAGCTCAGTAGTGTCTGCCCTGCTGTCCCTCCCAGACTTTGGGTCCCACTGCCGGGGAGGTGGGTTCACGCTGTCCCGGGTGGTTCCCCGTGAGGCTGCCTGTGGGGCGGGGCTTGGCCGGGCCTCCGCTGAGGGGTGTGCGGGGGAAACTGTGCCCCCAGGCAGGAGTGTGTGGCCACCGAGGAGAACCCGCAGGTGTACTTCTGCTGCTGCGAAGGCAACTTCTGCAACGAGCGCTTCACCCACCTGCCGGAGGCGGGGGGCCCGGAAGGTGAGGGCCGCGGAGAGGCAGGCGTGGGCCGCCCCCTGGCCCGGGAGGAGCGCTCCACTCCGGAGGAGCCGGTGGGGAGTGGCCGCAGGCCCCTCTGGCCCTAGAGGCGGGGGGGTGGGCGGGCTGTGTGACCCAGGGCTCCGTGTGTCCCCCAGTCACGTACGAGCCACCCCCGACAGCCCCCGCCCTGCTCACGGTGCTGGCCTACTCGCTGCTGCCCATCGGGGGCCTCTCCCTCATCGTCCTGCTGGCCTTCTGGATGTACCGGCACCGCAAGGCCCCCTATGGCCACGTGGACATCCACGAGGTGAGACGCGGGCTCGGGGCGGGGCAGGGCAGGGCAGGGCAGGGCAGAGGTGGCGAGGCCAGGACAGACTCTTTACGGCCCTGGTCTCCCCCAGGACCCTGGACCTCCCCCCCCATCCCCTCTGGTGGGCCTCAAGCCGCTGCAGCTGCTGGAGATCAAGGCCCGGGGGCGCTTTGGCTGTGTGTGGAAGGCGCAGCTCATGAACGACTTCGTGGCGGTCAAGATCTTCCCCCTCCAGGTGAGCGTCCTGTGGTCGCCGTGCTGTGGCCGGAGCTGTCCCGTCCCGGGCAGTGCAGGCCCCGTGTAGGGGTGAGAGGGACGTGGGCCCCCCCAGGGGTGGGGACATTCATTGTGCGGCTAGGTAGGGCTCTGCAGACCCACTCTGGTTTTCAAGGCTTTGTTTTGTGTGTGTGTGTGTGTGTGTGTGTGTGTGTGTTTTCTTTTTGAAATATATTTTATTGATTTTTTTTTTTTTTTTTTTACAGAGAGGAACGGTGAGGGACAGAGAGTTAGAAACATCCATGAGAGAGAAACATCGATAATCTGCCTCCCGCACACTCCCCACTGGGGATGTTCCCACAACCAAGGCACATGCCCTTGACCGGAATCGAACCTGGGACCCTTGAGTCCGCAGTCCGATGCTCTATCCACTGAGCCAAACCGGCGAGGGCAGGGCTTTGATTTGACATCAGGTTCTGCTTAGAGATCCTGGACACCAGGCTGCCCCGAGCAGTTTCCCGAAACCCTTAGCAAAGCCAGGCCCGGCTAGTGCCTCCCGTGGGGGGGGGGGGGAGGGGTGATCCCCGGCTAGTGCCTCCCGTGGGGGGGGGGGGGGAGGGGTGATCCCGGGCCACTCGCTCCCTCTCTGGACCTCAGCGCGCCCCTTTGTAAGTCAGGTGCTGAGCTTAGTGACCTCAGGGGCCACGCTGGCCTCGGCTCCCGGCCCGGCGCGCTGCAGGCCTCTGCCTGCCTGCCTGCCTGCCTTCCAGGTGCTGAGGCTGGGGCGTGGGGAGCGGGGTGAGGGCGGTGGTGCTGTCACGGGGGGAGGTGGGGGGTGGGGGGCGGCTGCAGGGGGCTCAGCCGTGTCCCCGCCGCAGGACAAGCAGTCCTGGCAGAGCGAGCGGGAGATCTTCAGCACGCCCGGCATGAAGCACGAGAACCTGCTGCAGTTCATCGCCGCCGAGAAGCGCGGCTCCAACCTGGAGGTGGAGCTGTGGCTCATCACGGCCTTCCACGACAAGGTGAGCCGCGGCCCGCGGAGGGGGCCGCACGCCCAGGCCGGGGGAGCCCGGCACGGCCCCCGCCACCTTCCACGGGGAGGGACCTGCCACCGGTGTGGCCGCGAGGGCCTTAAAGAACCCCTAACTCTGGGGACATTTTTAAAAAATATATATATATTTTATTGATTTTCTTACAGAGAGGAAAGGAGAGGGATAGAGAGTTAGAAACATCGATGAGAGAGAAACATCCATCAGCTGCCTCCTGCACACCCCCGACTGGGAATGTGCCCGCAACCAAGGTACATGCCCTCGACCGGAATCGGACCTGGGACCTTTCAGTCCGCAGGCCGACGCTCTATCCACTGAGCCAAACCGGTTTCGGCTGTGGGGACATTCTTACTGATCAGAGTAGTGGCTTCATAATGAACACCTCCGAGTGCCCCCTCCCCCCCCAATCCCCCCCCACCTCACCTCTGCTGGCCTCATAGATCTTCTGTATCAGCGCCAGCCTCCCAGGAGGGGACCGCAGCCGTCAGCCCCTGAGACAGCCTCCAGGCTGGGCTGGTCCTGCCCTGTCCCCACACTCTGTGCCGCCTCCTCCAGGGCTCCCTCACGGATTACCTCAAGGGGAACATCATCACGTGGAACGAGCTGTGTCACGTGGCAGAGACCATGTCCAGAGGCCTGTCGTACCTGCACGAGGACGTGCCCTGGTGCCGTGGTGAGGGCCACAAGCCGTCCATCGCCCACAGGTACCTGGGGGAGCGGCTGGCCTCCCTGGGCTCGGCCTGGAGCTGCAGAGAAGGTTGGAGGGCGAGAGCAGGGCCTGGCAGGGGGGTGGAGGGGTCCTCAACTTCACAAGCACGCCTGGCCACTCTGGTGTGTTAGAGTGAGTGGGCACAACCACCAGGGCCCACCTGCTGCCGCTGCCGCTGCCACCGCCAGCGGCCGGCCACCCCAGTACAGGCCTGGCCTGGCTTCCAGGCCGGTTTCCTCGCGCCCTCCAGTGGCCACATGAGGAAATGCCGGCTTCACTAGGGAGAGTTGGCTCAGGAGTGGCCAGTTTTTGGTTGCAGTCTCTCTCTCCTGTTAAAAAGCCTTTTGTGTATGTGGCTTATGTCTGCTGATATTTGCCGTGTTAAAGCACACACATCCCTCCAGCTGACAGTGATGACGTCACACAGAGGTAGCCCCTGGGAAACTGTTTCTGAGGGAATGAGCGTAAGATGGCCATGAGCATAGTTTTGTCCTTGCAGACCCCCCAAAACCGTCTCAGGGACCCTCTGGGAGCCGCGGTGTCCGCTCCTCGTCCCAGTGGGGTGCCTGGCAGCCAGTGCCGCGCCCACACACAGAAGTATCCGCCTGTTTTGCCCGCCGTGCGGTGGCTTCCTCAGCCCGGCTTACGAGGGAGCAGCAGCACAGAGCGCCGAGTAGCTTAGGCTGCCAGGGAGGGGAGTGAGCCTTGAATTCAGGGTTCAAAGCTGAAGGGCCCGTGATGGGACTAACAGTGACGTCACAAAAGGTTGACTGTCTGAAATTGCCATTTTTGTAGGTCAAAAACGGTTGACTGTCGACTCTTCCATACGGTTCAACCTAACAGTAGTGCCTAGTAAGTGTGCCAGGGGCAGCCCCGAGCATGTGTGCTTACTACCCCTCGGCATGGCCCTCACACCCAGGCCGAGACAGGCAGGGGGGAGCCTGAGGACCACAAGTAACTGCTCGTGCCAGGTGGGCTGAGCGCACACACCGGCACCTGCTCTGCGCCTGCCTCCGGGGTGGGGGTGGGCCCCTCGGGGCCCTGGACGGCAGCCCAGGCAAGCTCAGCGTCTGTGCTCACTCACATCCTACATGCTCTAGACCCTTCTCAGAAAGCACGGATCCCGGGTCCGCGTGCCTGCCCTCAACCCCTCTGCGAATGCAGGGGCTGACCCCCAACACTGTGCGCACTGGGATGGAGTTTGCCTGGCCACTCAGGGCAGGTGTCGCTCTGACGGCTCTGGGGAAAGTGCGATTTGGGGTGCTCCTGCCAGCGTGGGGGGGGGGGGCGATGGTGGTTCTAAAACTGCCTCCCTGTGGCCTCATGGGCCTCCGCCCCGGTGCAGACCCTGCTCTGGGGTCTCTGGCAGCTGCAGGGCAGGGCCCGGGCTCCGGTGTCCTGAGAGCCAGGATGGGAGCCCAGGAGCAGGTAGGCTGGACCGTGCCACTCGTCTTCATCGCAGCCCACTTGTCTCCACAGGGACTTCAAGAGCAAGAACGTCCTGCTGAAGAGCGACCTCACAGCCGTGCTGGCGGACTTCGGCCTGGCCGTTCGGTTTGAGCCAGGGAAACCGCCCGGGGACACCCACGGGCAGGTAACCGACTCGGGGTGTGCGAGGGGGCGGTACTGCCCGTGTGACGCTCAGCTGGCAGGTGCGGGAGCCAGGGCCGCTGCGTGAGCTCAGAGCTTCCCAAGACCTCAGAGAACGTGCCGTCATCCACCGCGGGGGGAGAGCGTGGCCGGGCAGGCGCCGAGGCAGCCGGCCTGGCAGCTGAGACGTGCCGACCGAGGCTTCCCGGTTGGGGTTTTGGCCGCTCGTCCTTGTCGCCTCCGTTTCTCTCTCTCTTTTTAGTTATAACGATGAAGCAAAATAATACAGAAAGAAATACACTAAAACCCCAACCCAACAGCCTAGAACAAATAACTAAGAAATGAAACAGACCATCCTAAAACAGTCTCTGCTGATATTCTTTTTTATTTTATTTTTATTTTATTTTTTTAAAATATATTTTATTGATTTTTTCTTTTTTATTTTATTTTATTGATTTTTTTACAGAGAGGAAGGGAGAGGGACAGAGAGCTGGAAACATCGATGAGAGAGAAACATCGATCAGCTGCTTCCTGCACATCCCCCACTGGGGATGTGCCCACAACGAGGGCACATGCCCTTGACCGGAATTGAACCCGGGACCCTTCAGTCTGCAGGCCGATGCTCTATCCAATGAGCCAAACCAGTTTTGGCCCTGCTGATATTCTTAAGTATCGTCCTTCCGCTTTAGTTTTGGTGTTAATCTCAGTGACACACACACACACACACACACACACCCGCGTGGCAGTGATGGGGTGGTGGCTGCAGTTCCAGGTTAGCTCACTGTTGTCTGAGTGTTGACGTGTTAAGGGGCCACTGAGGTCCAGTCTGCACCGTCCAGTCTGCACCGGGTCCTCTCGGGACCCTCTTCGGGAATGCGGCGTGTCCTGCCTCACCGTCCTTGTCGGCATCCTGCTCTCAACTCTGCTGGCCCGTCCGGCGCACAAGGGATGCAGCTCACTGTGCGGGCGTGAGAGCACGGCGGGTGGCCGCTGACCGCTGACCCTCCCCGTCCCTGCAGGTGGGCACGCGGCGGTACATGGCCCCAGAGGTGCTCGAGGGGGCCATCAACTTCCAGAGGGACGCCTTCCTGCGCATCGACATGTACGCCATGGGGCTGGTGCTGTGGGAGCTCGTGTCCCGCTGCAAGGCTGCCGACGGTGAGCGCGCCGGCCCCGGCCTCTGGGGGGCAGGGGGGAGCAGCGGGGCTGGGGTGACCCGGCCTTGCGCGTTCTCGCCCCCCAGGACCGGTGGACGAGTACATGCTGCCCTTTGAGGAGGAGATCGGCCAGCACCCCTCACTGGAGGAGCTGCAGGAGGTGGTCGTGCACAAGAAGATGCGGCCGGCCATCAAGGATCACTGGCTGAAGCATCCGGTGAGGGCCTGGGCGGCGGGGACCTGAGACCCGGGGGGCATGGGGCAGAGGGAGAGGGAGCCTCAGGCCGCAGGACAATCCCCCTTCATCCGCCAGGTCAGGGGCCACTTAGGGCCTTTCCCCTCCCTCCAGGGGAGCGTTGGGGAGGGCAGTGCTCTGCAGGGAGGCGGCTCTGGCTCACGGCTCTGGCTCGCTCGGGTGGAACCCAGGGGACCTTCCTGTCGGGGAGGCCAGTGGGCTTAGGATGGTGATTCCTGCCGGCGGGCAGCTTCTGGGGTTGGGATGCCCGTGGGCTCTGCCTGACCTTGGGCAGCATTGCCAAGCTGGCTGTCCCCGGCCGTGTCCTCCCTGAGGGCACTGACGGGTGTCTCCTCTCCCCCGCCGCCGGGTGCAGGGCCTGGCCCAGCTCTGCGTGACCATCGAGGAGTGCTGGGACCACGACGCCGAGGCCCGCCTGTCCGCGGGCTGCGTGGAGGAGCGGGTGTCCCTGATCCGGAGGTCGGTCAATGGCACTACCTCGGACTGCCTGGTCTCCCTGGTGACCTCCGTCACCAACGTGGACCTGCCCCCTAAGGAGTCGAGCATCTGAGCCCAGGACACGCGGGTGGCTCTCCGGACTCCCTGGATCTGAAGAGGAAAGGAGGAGGAGGAGAAAGAAGGAAAAAAAAAAGGAAGTGTTTCCTTTTGGAAGTCCCACACCACCAACAGACTCACACAACGCAGCTGCTATTTCACCTTGACCTTTTGTTATTATTATAATTATTATAATTATTATTTTTAATGTTATTTTTGGGATCGGATCAGCTCTACCAGCACATGGCTCTACTGTATCGCCCGCCCGCCGCGGCCGGCGCCGCCGAGGTGCTGAGCGGTGAGCGCAGGCCGGCGCCTCCCGTCCTTGGTGCGTGTCTCTCTCCCGCCTCCTCTCGGTTCCCGTCTTCGAACCCGGGACACGAAGAAGCCCCTCTCCTGGGAGTCTTAGGACACGTAATGCTGCAAACTCTTGGGAGAGGAACCTTTGAAGACTGTTACATCAGAACACACCTTCCTCCAGAGGAGTCCCTCCCTCCCTTCTTCCCTCCCTCCCTCTTAGTGTGTTTCTGCTCCCTGTTTAGACAGCGAGTTTAAGAAACAGCAGCCGTGTCTCTCACGGGTTCACGGGTGTCTCCTGACCCAGGCCAGCTGGGAGGAGGAGGCTGGCGGACACGTCGGAGAGGGCGCGGCGGGGGGCGGTCTGGAACCAGCCGCAGTGGACGCGGGCACATGGCAGAGCACCCTTCGCCATGTGGCTACTTCTCAGGTAACCGGGAGCCGAGGGCAGGGCCCGGGCGGAGGCTGGAGCGGGGTTTGGAGAAAGCCCGGAGGCCCTGGCCAGGTTCTCCCCCCTCTCCCTGGGGCATGGGCCTCAGATGGAACGCTTCCTTCTGCCCCATGTTCTCGTTAGGTTAGGGCAGGAGTCACAGCCGAGTGAGTACGTTCTTTGGTTCTTTCTAAGACCTGATGCTGTCCGTGTCCTTGTGGGGGAGGGGGGAACGCGGGGTATTTGCCTCCTCCGGGAGCATTCAGGGACCCGCCCGCAGGGGGCGCCCCGCAGCCAGGCAGGAGGGACCGGGTGGCTCCGCCCGCGTGGCGACACCCGTGTCCCCCGCTGTGAGGCTCGTGGGTGTGCTCTCTCCAGACCCTTCCCGTGGTGCATATCCTAAAACCGTCCTCTGTCTCGCCGTCACCTTGCTCTAGTCCGTGGATGTTCCTAATGCTGCTGTTTCAACATTTGACTTTTTTTTTTAATTTATGAAACATGCAAAATTAAAAAGCAAACATGAAACACATCCACACACACACACATACATACACACACACACACACACACACACACTCTTTGCTATGTGGCTTCCGAGGTTTAAATTTTGAAAAAGAGAACTTCACGACCACAGACCACCTCAAACCAGAAATACCTCAGAATTTTCTACTTGTGTACTACGTTTCATTATCTATTTTATTAGTTGTGTTGTCTTGTAACGAGTGTATTTTAATGTGAGTTGGCTTTTAGGACCAGGAAGTTTAAAAGAAATAGAGAAAAAGGAGAAAGAAAAAAAAAAGTTTGAGTCGTGTAGGTAGTGCTGCCGTGTCTGTTGGCTGACACCCCATGTAAATAGCGGTCCCCGCCCGTGGGCCGGCTGGCCGCGTGGGCCCATCCGGGCATCCGTCACACGCGTTTGTGAAGGCTTTTCCTTCTGGGTTCTGTAGACAGTTTTATCTAAAACCGATCTCTTCCCTCTTGTGGGGGGAGTTGGAGGGCGATGGGGAGAGGCTGACCTGGGAGCCTGCGAGGGACACCTCCGGGGGTGGTTTGGAGGTCCAGGGGTGTCCTTCCGGCCGATGGGTGGATGCTCAGGAGGACAGGCCACCCCACCGTAACTGGGTAAAATGGAGGCCTGAGGACATGAGCAGCTGTGACCTCGGGAGAGATCTGCGGTCGTCTCCGAATCCGCTGTGATTCGGGGTGGCCCCCGGGGCCCCGCTGCTCACTCGCCTGGCCCGCTGTGTCCCCTCTGCCCGCCGTGCAGGGTGGCTCCGTGGGCCGAGGTGGGAGCGGGCTGAGATGGCTCCAGGGACAGGTCTTGTTGTTGTTGTGTTGTTTGGGGAAGCTATGTTGTTGTTTACTTAAAAAACAACAACAACAACAACAACACTATTTTGTGCTGTGGTATTTTTCTCCCCTTGGAGTAATTTTTTTTTTTTTAACAGCAAAACAGGTCTTACAGCAGTTGCTTTTCTTTTTCACCGATTTCTTTAAGAAGCTTTAAACTATTTATTGAGAAGTGCCATATCTACTTCCCGTAGCGTTCTCCTCAGGCAGGCAGCGCTGGGCAGCCCTGCTTCTCGCCCCCAGAAGCCAGGGAACCGAGCGCTCCTGCGGCGGGCTCCGCCGGAATGGCTGGGTCCCGTTCCCGCGGGGGGCACCCGGCCTCTCCTTGCCTGCTTTTCCGCGTCCCCCCGGGGGCTCTTCCCGTCGTGTGTGCGGGCTGGCTTCGCGGGAGGACACGCCCGGGCCCGGCCGTGGGGGACTGAGCCCCCGCCCCGACGTGGGGACCTGCTGGTCAGGACGAAGGCGGCCCGTGTGCCTTTATCCGGGGCTCCCTCCTCGCTGACCCTGCGCTCTAGGAGGATGCGCCAGGAGATGGTCCCATTGGGTGTGGCCGGGGAGAGGGGAGAGCCCCGGGGGTCTGACCAGCTCTGTAGGCTCCAGGCTGCCTCCTCCCCGCCCGTCCTCCATGCTGGTGTCCAGGCGCCTGGCTGTGGGATGGGCTTTGGGAAAGAATGTGCTCTGTCTGCAGACACGCGCGGTCACATGGGAAGACGCTGTTAGCCAGGGGAGTCCGGCGGCGGGGGGGACAGAGCACCGTGTCACAGAGTCCCAAGAGGGCCCTTAACAAGGGCAGTGGGCGGGGAAGGCTGTGGACGCAGCCAGCAGACATCCTGAGCCGGTGGCACAAGCCAGACTTTGTCCTGAGGCCGCTGGTCCCCATCAGGAGTCCTTTGAGCAAGTTACTCAGGGCCAGGGCTGTCGATGGGCCGTTCTCAGGAGGAAGGGAGGCCTGGCCACGAGGGAAGGTGAGAGCATCACCGGCCTTTGTGACTCAGCACGGCCTTGCTGGCGGGCTGGCTTCAGCTCTGCCCGCGGAGGGCTTTCCCCTGGGCACCAGCCGCTTCGGACTCGATCCCTCCTGTCCAGATGTGGCGCCCGGGTGTCCAGCCTTGAGCACCTCCAAGAGGGATTTCACGTGACATTCGCTTCTCCGCCAAGGGAAGAGCTCACTGCGATAGCTCTTCCGTGGCCCCTGGGGGCCAGGCTAGCTCTTGTCATGGCTTGTCACGTCCTGCTCTGGGAAGCAAAGCAGGTGAGCGTGTCACCTTTCTCTCCAGTTGGCCACCTTCCTGCTCCCTGCCACCCTGCACTGGGCGCCGGGTTGTGGGTGTGCTGTTTCCTTGGCGACGTGCCCAGCTGCGTATTGAATGTCCACCACGTGCTGCATGTGGCTCAGAAGGCCGGTCACATGGCCCTTGCATGCTGAGCCACGAGGCCCGAGGAGGGGCTGTGCCATCTAGGGCGGGAAGGCTGGCTGGCACTCTTGCAAATGGGATTCTGCTCTTTTTAGAATGCCAGGTAGCATCCCCAGCATCCATGGGGAATACCAGGGGTGGGTGTTTTTCAGTCATGAAGTGAGCGTCAGTAGGCAAGTCTTAAGCATTGGTCCTAAAAGCCCCATAGCCAGGTCTTGTTCCTGAGAGCTTCACTCCCTGGAGAAACACCTGATTGTACAGCGTTTTCCACAACCGAACGCCGTGGGATTGCCCGTCTCAGCCGTTTCCTATTGGGTTCGTCATGGCTTCTGTTTGAGGAGAGAGCCAGGCACGGTTGGCATGTCAGGGGCACCCACCACCTTCCTAAGCAGCACAGCGAGCTGACTCCTCACCCTCACCCCGGGCGGCTATCGGAGGGGAGAGGGCGTGGGGGCTCTTTCCCATCGGGGCGATGGGAGTTCTCCTTGGCCAGCGGCTAATACAGTCCCAATACTCAGCAGCTAACGGGTCCGACCGGCGATGACAGGTTTCCGTCTCGGTGAGCTGTGGTGTTTTTGGTAAAGAAGCGGGCCCAGGAATCCCATTGACGTTTTCCATGGTCTCGGTCTAGATTGGTACGTGTGGAATGAATTCAGGGTCCCGCCCGTAGTTCTTTTTAGTAAGGTTCCTTGGTCGTTGACTTGTAACCAGCAATTCACCTACGAATGTATCCCGAACCCTTAGAAGGCTTGGCTAGTTTTTTGTTGTTGTTGTTGTTTTTTAGGATAATGATTTAGTTTGGTAGGAAAAAGAAGCTGAAGTTTACAACACCCCCTGTCCCCTAGAAATTCGGTTGGCTCAGCCACATTTTCACAACAATCATCGATCGTACGGAAGTACGGGTGGTCTAGTGGGACGTTCTGAATATTCCTTTTTATGCTCGTTTTGGGTCTGCTGGGATCTCCGTTTTGGAAAGGGTTTACCACCGTCTGCGTTTTCACCAGGCCTGTACGTTTCGTGCTGGTGCCTTTCAGGCGCGCACGGAGCAGGACTCCTGACTGCGGCGCTCCCCGAGTCCCTGTCGTGCCAAAACCAGCGTCACCCGATTTGCTCCTTCGGCAGCGCGTAGAGGTGACACTAGTGGTTTTTCCTCGTGAATGGGAACGCCTGTTTTGTAAATGCCAGTGTTTGGCGGTGGCCCTGGCGTGTAGCTCTGGGTTGTCCGGGGCCCGGGCACTTGTGAGAACACAGGACACTAAAGAAACGGACACACGGATGTGCGCACGTTTGCGGTTCGTTGTACAGATGTGGGCTCTTCCGGACACGGGTGGAAAAGCGTCCCATCTCCAAAGTTTACATTGTGGGCTCGTCGTCGTCGTCATGGGGGAGAGAGGGCCCGTGCGGTCCAGGCAGGCGCGGGCGGGTCATTGTGCGGGCAGGGGAGGCGCGTCTGGAGTCCCGCGAATGAATGTCTGCCCCTGCCCTGCCCGTCCCGTTGCGTTGGCATCGGAATGTGGTTAGCTA